ACCTCCTTTGTTTCTGCCTCGCTTGGCTGCTTTGTCCATACAAATACGCTTTTTTTTCAATTTTCCTCATCTCTAGCATTTTCCAATAAAAAATGTTTCTCTTAATAAGTTAAAAAGCTTCAATAGACTTTGGGTTTCCTGGTTGCTATGTCCCATCTTTTAAGCTTTTCTGTACGTGGAGCTGAAAATGTCTAATAAATACGTGAATACTGAGGTAGATGGCGTAGGAATTATGAGTTATTTATTTTATAGGCATATGGGAAAGCAAATTGTATTGGATCTCTTAGCTGTAAACACAGGTAGAGCTATGCGAGTGGTAGTACAGCCTTGTATCAGCAATATGTTAAGTGCGTAAATAATTAATTTTCAAGTCTGGCACAAGTGGAATAAAAAGAAAAATGAAAATGCATTACATTTATGTGCTTCCATATTTATACAAATGCAGAAGACACATAAAAGGACCTGGCATAGATGTGCCTGGTGTATGGGAGCATTTCAATAACATCACTAACATGGGTCTTAGTATTCTTCAATTTTAAATGGTTTATGGGATTAATGACAAATTTCGTCAATCATATCCATCATGTCAGTTCTACGACTGCCTTCTATTTTTGACATTTATCATCCGAGTGCATCTGGTCTTCTGGAAAAAATGGCATTTTTTCTTGAGATGCTGAAAAATTTTTTTCGCATAGGAAAAAACAGGCCAGTGTGATGCTCGACGAGCGTAAAATTTAAAAGCAAACAGCCGCTTTCTGTTTGCTTCGCCGGACCAACTTGCAGTCACTAGAACTAGTCTGAAGTTTTAATATTTCTCTTTGTTCATCGTTTTTGAATATGTTACTTCACAAGTCTGTTGTTATATATTTGATAAGAGAATTTTGACAGGGAAAAACACCATTGAGGTTACCGTATAGAGTAGTACAATATGTCATGCTGATGATTGTAAATATCGCATCGTAATAGACATCGATTAGACCATTAGGCATTAGATGGAGACATGCAGCCCATTATTATTATTACTGTTACCAATATTATTATTATTACCATTATCATTGTTGTTATTGTTGCCATTGATAATAATATCAATAGTGATATTGTTGTTATAATAATAACAGTAATTATTATTGCTAATAATAATTACTAATAATTACTAATAATAACAAGAACAACCTCTTAACATCACTAACACGGGACCCCAGATCGATTGTCTGGTCCGACTTATAAATTCGTAACCACACAGTGTGGAGTATTTTATAGTTAA